AAAGGCAGGGCCATTATGGTTTACTTGGTCATGAACAAATACTTTGGGATGAGTCCAGAATGACTTCTGCTTTAAACATCACTGTTTATTTACATACCCAAACTGGATGTTTAAATTTGTTTACTGATTCTCCCTATTCTATCCTGCGGTATGCTAATAATCTACACAACGCTCTGCAGTTTTCAGGAATGCCTAGGTCAACCATCCAGCAGCTCCATGTAGCGCCATGGAAAAATAAAGCTCCATGTAATTCCTGGTTGTGACGTTAAATACTTCAATGTCTTTCCTTATTGATATCCAGAGGTGTGACTCAAAGGTAAATGGCGCAATAGATCAAGGGTAATGATGGCTAAATGCCTTTTAGCCTGACTTTTTATGAAAATGATCCCAAATTTGAATTTCCATCATTAAAAACACTATTAACACATTAGGACCTTTTGGAAGAAGACTGAAACGCATGGATCATTGCTGCATATGTTACTCAACATAATCGAATACGGGGCCTCATGTAACTGCCTGCAGGCTTAATCTTTCCTTTTGTCTGTTAGCCAACAAAAGCGGCCTTGCATCATTTGTCAGCCACAGTCAAACCATTAATAAAAAAATAAATAATTTTTTTTTAAATGGCCCATATTATTTAAAATAATTACACACTAGATGCATATAAAAGCCCCTATTATGGAAATGGAACACTACCATGTTGGTCTACATTTATTTAATGCCTAGAGATTGTGTGTAATCTACAAACTTGTGTATTTGTGTGAGAGTGTTCAATCTCTCCTACTCACACACTGGCCCACACAACCCAATAGCCATTGACAACAGTGCCCTAGCAACCATTGGGCATCATGCCAAGCCACTGAGGTTGCCTGGTAGTGTGTTCCCATGGTTACATTTTCTGCCTTTGTAAATAAGGTACGATGAGAGTGAGGGGTGGTGGTGGCAGTGGGGTTGGAGAAATTGTACTACAGAGTCTCATTTTATCTTGGGAGCTAATAATTTATGGTTTGTGACTCGCAGATACTAAATCTGGTGCTTCAGCCAGCTGTATTCCTACTGAAGGGGTGCTTCAGCATCAGCGGGGATCTGGGGTCAGTCCTCTTCACACACAGTCCAATCAGATTTTTAAGGAGGGCTGCACAGATGCATGTCATATTCATTTTTTTTTTTCTTTAAATACACACCCATTCCAGAGATCTTATTAAAATGTGGATTAGAGAATAACATGGATTCGTATAGTTTAATTCCTCTGAGATTTCTAACAAACATTTTGGGGATTTTCTTTTGTTTTTGTTTTGTTTGTTTGTTTTTTGCTCTGATGACGTGCATTTGTTTTGTTTTGGGGTTTTTTGTTTAAAAGGAAAAATCAAAAAATCAAATAGGCCGGCATTGCTCCCTCACCTTGAAGTTGAGAACTACCGTCTGAGGCCTGCATTCCTGTTGAGCTAGCACTTGCCAGTTTATTTGCTGTCACTGGGCAGATTTCGCTAGACTCTGCCCCTACATTGTTTGGGTGGTGCCGTACTCTGCGCATCACTTCTCAAAGCCAAGGAGTGGCTGAGAGCCACCTGAAGTCTTTGTTCTGTCTTCGAAGGCAGTGTAAATGTTTTGATCATTTGTATGAAAAGTGGTGGGCTTGATTTTTAGTTGACTGGATAACTCGTCTATTGCTCAGTTTTGTTTTATTTATTTATATATATATATGATATGTATATATATATATGTATGTAATATATATATATAATATATATATATATATATATATATATATATATATATATATATATATATATATATATATATATATATATATATATATATATATATATATATATATATATATATATATATATATATATATATATATATATATATATATATATATATATATATATATATATATATATATATCTTTGAGAGTATATATATATATAAAATAAATATTTAATCCTACTGGACATTTGTACTTGTATAAAACTACTCCTAGTACTAATCTCGGGGTACTTTAGCAGGTGTAGAAACATTAAATTAGGAAATGAGTACTAAAGTATCAGATTGCAAGCTAAGATTTGCTTTATTTTGAAGAGTGGAGGTTGGCTGTCATAAAGCAAACAACTTAAACCATCCAAGGAACTGGGTTCAGGGAGTTTGTTACTCCTAGCAGCAAAAAAAGGAGAAAACGACCAACTTGGCAGCAAATGCTAGAGAAGCAAAAAAAACAAAACAAAAACCAGACGCTCAAACCCAGTGCAGTGAACTGCATTCTGGATTTGGTCATTGTGGAAAATTCAACAGCTTTTTGTAGGGCATTTTAGTCTTGACTGACTTACATGATCCTGTGCATGCATTTAACACCATGTGAGCTTTTTAGATTTGTCTCATCCCTTAACCAACAATATTTTTTGAATATGTACAAGAATATTGCAGCATTTATAGCCTTTTCAGGTACAGCGTCACATAAACAAATCTTTAAATTTGAGAAATCGTTTAGTACTGTTTTGGGGCTACATTGTTGTGTTGAAAGCTTGGATGCGAATCTAATGTGTTTTTTTTTTTTGTTGTTGTCTTTTTTTCTTTTTCTTTTAAATTGGCGCAATACCAATCTAGAGTAACTGATTAGCTTCATTATTGACAGATTTTAATTAATGCTCTCTGCACAGATATCTTTGTTATAACAGCTGGGCTCTTTGGTGCATTTTCTTCAATTTGATGACCTTTTTGTGGCAACTTGCATCTAACTTTATACTTCTGCTCAATATAATTTCACTTTCTCTCGCGCTCCCAAAGGGGCGACTGTTCTCGCGAAGCTTCACCTAACCCAACACCAGCTGGGGTTCGGGCTTATAAGCCACCCCTGGCCTCCAGTGCAGGGGCTTCCCACCAGAATCTCACTGGCACACAAACACACCCAAGCAGATTGGCAAAGAGCTGGCATTGGCACAACCATGCCGCATGCATGCGTGATCCGACTGCGAATGAGGTGAGAGGTTTAAAAAGGGGAGGAGAGGAATCAAGGGGATGGAGGGCGGAGAGAGAAGGGGGGGCGGTGGAGTTGTTATGAACAGAGATTGTCTGGAAAAAAGTTGTAAAGAGTTTGTTCTGTGAAATGTTCAGTGATGAGGGATAAATAAGAGGCACTTAGAGGTGGGAGGATGGCCAAAGGAAGAAAATGAAGGATGGGCAGCGTGGGGGCCTTTCAGTATGGCAGAGGGGAGGGCAGAGGGGTGAGGTGAATGAGTTTATATTTGGAAGCTGGCCCAAAACAAGTCTCTCTGAAGTTTGAAGTTTCCTGAACACAGGCTCGTTTTTCTTTTAAGTCTTTTTGAATCTTTAGTACAGTCATAAGACAGTTTACAAACTACTTTTAGTCCTGCTAATGTAATTGGATAGGGCCCTTCACAGCCATGTATCATCCTAATAGACCTATGCTGGGCAATGTATACTAATACACCCTTAATGGTTGTGGCAGGCAGCAGTGAGTTACCCTTTAAGGAATCTGTGATTTCCACTTATGTGTTTGCATCCAGCTCTGTGAGAGACTAAGACTTGTGCATTTAATGTTTTGTTTTGTTGTTTTTTTGTGCAGTGGCCAAGCTGAATGGAAGGCCTAGCAACTCAGCTGTGCAGCAGCTATCAAGTAATCAATGAGTCCTTGAGGCACACAGGAGCAGTGTCAAAACACAGCCATTGACTGCTAACAACAGCCAATTTGCTGCTTTTGCAGGAGATCACCTCAGCTAGATGTCGAATGTGTGGGTGCGCCCCATTATTTATGGAGTATAATGAGGCAGATTGACTGGATAGTGCTGTTACTCCAAATTGTCATCCAATTATTCACCCATTAGATCCTGTTTGCTACACTGAAAACTCCTCTACAATGCACCAATTTTTGCATTACACTGAATAATACCCTATTAAATAGCATAAATCGGCATATCCTCTTACAGTGTACAGAGGTGTCTGACACCTTCCTGAGATTCAGATGAGGAAGAAAGTCATGCATAAACCAGCAAACGACAACTGGACAGAATGTACATCAAATGCGGCTTTTATCTGTATTTACAGACTCAATCTCATTCTTCCATTCATGTATGCACTCAAATTTGCCCCCTCTATTGCTCTTGGGAGGCATTGTCCTCTGTTCTCAACAGTCATCTTTCAGCATTACAAGCCTCTCTGCAGCATTGCTCAACTCCACAGGGTGCTTCACATTTGTGTTTCGGTTTGCCCTTGTTAGTATAAAGACCTAAGGCCAGTGATGTGTTCACTACTGCTGCAATTCTGTTAGGTAACACTTGACAATAATTCACCGCCGCAAGGTCAGTTTTGCCTTTTTAGAAACTTTTCAGAGAATAATTTATCTTTATGTGATAACAATAGAGAGCAGGGATGTGCATAAAGAGTTTAGTCTGATTGCTTTAAAGGGATGAGAAATGATTGCAGTAATTCACAGGCTGGCGACAAGTGGGATTTTTGTTTCTTAATGGAAAGTACCAAGATGTTGTAAATTTGAAGATTCTATAGCAGTTGGTGTTAAATCTAAGCGATGGCTCCTCCAAATGGCCACACGCAACAGTGGAGCAAATTGCCAGATCTCAGAGGAGTAAGATAATGAAGCACATTTGCAGTCAGTCTGTCCTTGAATTCACGTGGCTCTCGTGTTGTGCTTGGTTGTACACAAGCAAACAATGAATAAAGGGTGAAAACGCTGCCCACTAACACATTTCTGACTGCCTGGCAACAAGACCGCCATGTCTTTTTCAGGAAATTACAAAAGACTTTAGATGCAACCCTGCACCCAAACAACCTATTCATTTAAGGATGGACAAGGCAATCTAAGACATGGCTTAAGTCTCCTAGTAGAAACACGGTTTAATGTCAATTTTAAAAATGAGCTAAAATGATGCAGGTAAAACACAGCTGGAATTTTATTTCTATGTAATTCTATTTGCACAGCTCTATGCTGCTGCATTTTTTTTTTTTTGGGGCTTTTTAAACGTTAGGGAACCTTCCGGGGTTTTTTTTGTTGTTTTTTTAGGAGGGAGCCTTGGATGTAGAGTTTAACAAAGGCAGTTTTCTTCTCTGTGGAAATTGAGACGTGCAGGAATCAACTCCAGTGTTGGCTTAGGGCAGTTACTAAATGGGCTTCCATGCAGGAAGGAATTTGCTCCATTGGCCTACGTAAATCCCTGATGTCCTTGCCACCAATTGAGGTGACTGCTCTCATTGGTATCTATTCCAAAGGATACTGCTATTCAACTCAGGACCCACCCACTTAACATCTCCAGTCAATATTTGGCCCGTGGCTGCTTGATGTTGCTGAATGTCCTCAAATTTGTGGTATCCGGTCGTCACTGAGTTTCGTATGTGGGTGCTCCTTAACTCAGGCTTGGCAGCAATCACTGCTCATCTCAGTGCCAGGCCATTTCAGCTGATGGCTCAACTGATGCCCCTCTATTGTTTTGAGACTGCACATCTGCAAGTTGCTTTGCAGTCCACTTCCACTTTAGCTTCTCTTTTTCACCATCCTGTCTCCAACTTTATCTGTAGGCATCGATTCCTCCTCCTGTTCTATGCTGGGGTCTTGCTACCTTCGCTGCCACCTGCTTTCCATGTTTGCACACTGAAAGGGCAAGGAAGTCCCACAACACGCCCATGCTGCCAAATATAAATTACTACAGATGGAGATCAGTCTTTTATTGACTGCAGTTCTGAAAGATGCCTTTTAAAGTAAACTGAAGTACAATCTTTAACATAAGTAAAAGTGAAGAGCGGCTGAGATGAAGGCAGGTGATCTGCTATGACGATCTCTTATGGGACCAGGCAAAAGATTATATTTAACTGAAACAGCTGGCAATTTCCTTTTGACAATCAAGTCGATACCCTTTTAGTCGAGCTCAACCTGTCTCTGTATTTCCTGTTTTTAACCCAGTTAACAAAACCGCTTGAATAACATTATTTTCTGCAGGAAACTTCAGTTTCAGCTTTTCCAACATTCCCCTTTGGGCTTTTGTCAATGATGCCCCAACTATGCAAATTTTATAGGCAAAATGCTTAAATATAATCGGGGGGTGCGCAATCTTATTGTGTGCTTGTATATACTAAAGGCTTAAGAATGCTTATGGATTTATGTCTCGACATCCCACCGTAGAAGTGAACAAAGAAACGTTCCTTCGATCAGCTTTGGAGGTCATATGTGATAACCTTCAAAGCTGATTGCAGTGCTGGAATACAAGTATGGCTTCAGCAACAATAAAAACAGCAGCACAGGATTATTAGACTTTAACCTCTGAGAAATGGTGGAATAGTGCTCTGTAGTGCTGAATTGAATCTTTGAGGATGTGGAAGATTCTAGCAGCTCCACTTGCAGAAGTAGGTCAGGCAGACGCCTACAGTGAGCAACTGCAGGTTAAGTGCTTGTCTTTGTATTCATAGATGGTGAAAGTCTGCCTCCACCTCTGGTGGGGGGAGGTGGTTGTCGACATACTGCGTCTACCCACAAGAGGGAGACAAGTCCACAAAAATGCAGAATGCGTTATTTCAATTCAACCACTTTGGTGTTAAACTTTGATCTTGTAATGAGACTGGGAGGGGAAAAAAACTTCAAGAAGCTTATTTGATTCCTCGCAATAGAGAAGTCACTAGAAATATTGTACAGTAAAACATTTGAAGCTTTGATGGCTTTGAGATCATAAATGAAGCAAAAGATGAGAAGACTGTGTGGAAGAAGACTCCAGTGCTGACCTGCTCCTGTGCTCTGCAGTGTGAGGTAGTTGGTTGTATGGTTTCGCATAATAAAAAGCCTGGAGATAACTGTACAACCTTCTAGCTTTCCCTGCGGAGTCACCCAGACTTCACCTGAATGCATCCACATCGTGCCTCTTGATGTGGTAAGTATGAAGAAGAGCACAAAAAATAAGTGACTTCCTTTTTTAAAGTGGTAATGAGTTTTCAGGGCTGTAGTTATATATTTATATTCAACACTTTCAACATTTTTAAAATCTCTTTCAAGGTCTTTTGGACGAAACTTCTATTGGCTTTTCAGTCAATGACAAAAAGATGCACCAATGCTCCATGCTGTACAGATGGCCTCCGTTATCAGATCTAAAATAATTTCTCCTTCAGCAAATTCAATTTCACACCAATAATTATAATGAAACATGGAGGGGGGTGGAGGGGGAAAAAAAGCTACAAAACCGCTTTAAATCTAATACATCTGAAATACTAATCGGGTTTTGCTGTCGAGACCCACCTAATCCAGACATCAATATATCCACCTTGCTCTGCAGTGCTCTTTGGTTTATTTGGTGCAGTCCAACGGGGTATAGAGCAAACTATCAATAGCGGTTTGTTTCTGGGCTTTTGTTAGCACGCCATGCACAGGAACGCAGAATATTTCCTGATGTCTTTGGGCTGGAATGTGAGGAGCCTAAAATGCAGGAAAAGTGGAAATTTAATATTTCGTTGAGAGTCAGAAACATTTTATGGTCTGGTAGTGACGATGTAATTCAAGTTTGCCTTAAGTCCCTTATTGTAACAGTTTGAGTATATGAACAGTTTGTGAATATGGCAGAGCTGTGGCTGTGTGTATCCGGCTGACACAAGTCTCCAAAATGAACTGTGCCCGCTGCTCTCTGTAGTCATGGCAGATAATGACAGTGTGCCCAGACGTTCCTATCAGCGTGTCCTCGAGCACAAGGCTGTATGTGAACTTGCTTACTGCCTCCGCCTCCTTCCTACTGCTCCCTCACACCCCCACCCCCTTCCCCCACCCTGCTCTGTCCCCCAGTGTGTCTGGCTAGTGGCTCAGACACCCAGTATCCGCATTGCGTTGCAGTGCTCAAACGAGGAAGGGGGGGAGAGGAGGGGAAGAGCACATATCAGCAATCTCTGCCGATCGTTGCTCTTTTCTACGAGCACACAAAGAAACTACTCCCCAGCATCTTCTGACTCCAAATTCAGCTGTTTGCCACCTGCTGTTTTACAAAAAGGGCGGCTCAAGTCTCCATTTGTCTTTAATTTTTAGCACATTTCACACCGTGACTGTTTTCCCCGTTAACACATCTGTTTTCTGGTTACTTTATTAGTCTGCCACTTCAAATTCTCACTCGTTTTCTAATTTCGGAGATTCTTCTGTCAAAGGAGTTTACTGACACTTTTTTAATAATAATATTTATTATTATATATATTCAGGAGTTGTGGAATAAAAGCTGCTGAATTGATGCGTAGATGGTTCAGGCAGGTTGTGTTGATGAAAGACTGAAGAAGAGAAGCAGCAGTGTTGTGGTCAGAGCGGCTGGGAGGTTAATCACCTTTGGGCTTGCTGTGGCTTTGATCCTCGCGCTGTGTAAAATCCACAGCCTTGGTCTGAGCTCCCTACGCTGCCTCTTCCACCCCCACACCTTCATTCCCCTCTATCCTGCACACACTCTGACATAGATGCATGCGTGCACGAGGACAAAAGTGCGCACACACCTCAAACACACGCCCCTCCCTCTGAACACATTGACTCTCTTCCAGATGCACCGAGCACAGCAGCCCAAGTTCAAACGCACACGAAGTTAGACACCCACGTAGAGACACACTGCATCATGTGAACGTAGAGTTGGGGTTTTTTTGGGGGGAGGGGGGTTGTTGTTTGTTTTGTTTTTTTTGTTGTTTTTTTTCCCTTTTCAGGCGAGACGGGACGTCAGGCCTGGAAAAAATGAAAGGGGGGGTTGGAAAGCGAGGAAGCAAGGGTGCAGAGATGAGGAGGGAAGGATGAAAATGAGGGGTAGGGCTGAGATGAAGCAGGGGGAGGCGGGGACAGAGTGATAGAGGGTGTTCAAGCAGGAGAAGAGAGCGATAGCTGGAGATACTGCATGCTTGCATAAGTGTCTGCCTGTGTGTGTGTGAGAGAGTGAATGTTTGTATGTAGGTGACACAGATTTATGAAGGGGAGGGGGTGGGGGGGTCATAGCGCTGTTGGTGGTTACTGGGTGGTGGTGGTGGTGGTGGGAAGTGGGGTTATTGGTACAGCACCAGATAATGGAATCAATGCAATCGTCTGTTTTTTACTGTGGTGTACCTGCCTCATAGTCTGTTCGGACTCTAATCGCCTGGAGAATTAATGATGTGACTTGGCAGAGGGAAACGGGTACAGAGCAGAGCCAGGGACAGCGCCTGAGAGAGGGATAGAGGAAGAGGAGAGACAAAAAAAGAGCAGAGCGAGAGATGGAGGGGTAGCGAGAGGGGAATAGCTTTTCTGTTCGCCGTCGCCGCTCTGTACTGCACTCAGAGGAAAAGGAAGACTGAAGATGAGGCAGGATAGGTTTTATCAAGCGCTGTTCTTTACCGCTGGATTAATTGGCTTTTTTTTTTTCTGTAAGAGGCAAGAATGGATCAATAACTCATCGTAAGAGTGTGTGCGCTTATACCTGTTCTGTGTACATGCACTTGTTGTATGCGTGTTCACAGGGAATGAGTGTGTTCATGTAGGGACCACCAGGCAAACAAATGGTGAGTTCGAAATGACTCAAGCGGGCCGTCTAACAAATCGAGCGATTTGACTGACCACATCCACCCGCCATATTCCTTCATTATGTCCACCTTCATGTTCATTCTGTTATAGGGTCTTTTTTTTTTTCTTTTTTCCTCGAATATTTCACTTCATTTCCCCTCCAGCCTTGGTTCACATCCTCCGCTCTTTGTCTGTCATGCGATGTTTGAGAGCAGCAGAGAAGCTCATAAAACTGGGGCAGAGGAAAATATCTCCAAGCACAGAGACAAAGAGGAAATGGGGAGAGGCAGTGTAAACTCTCACACAGACTGCAAAAAGGCTTTATATTGTGAGCACCTCACTGTCGCATGTTTGTCTGCATGCGTGCACCTGTCCACAGGCTGGTTTTTGGTATATTAAGGACATGCTCTGGATTGTTGGCAGGTGACAGCTTAGTCATCTGGACACAACATGCGTGTGATGCAAATGGAGCTTCTCAGCTGTGCATGAGTTGTTTGAACTCTGCCCGATTCTTTGTGTGGTATCTGCCGTGTCAGGCTTGTGTGACTTTTTGTCTGGCTAAGAGTAAATCAGTGCTACTCCCTCAAGGCTGAACATCTTTGTCATGGGGGAGTGATTGCATAATCCTGTGAGATCACAAGGCCTGTAGGAAATGTAAGACGACAGTGTCTGCGGTTGCAGGCACAGCTGTCCGTGGATGTTACATATATGTGCACAAAGATTCGTTGCGTATGTGAAATGCACGACCGCTCTAGAGTTTAACTCGTCCGTATAAGGCCTGACTTGTACGATAAATTTGCGGGTTTTTCTTTGCGTACTTGTCTACTAATGCTGTCTGCCAGCAGGGGGCGTTTTTATTTCAACGACTTGCTGCACAGACCTGCACTGAATAGCAGGCGCTGGCTACATCAGGAGGAAAAGCAGCCAGACGGGGCCCTGAAAACAAAATGTAGACGTGTAACATTCCGATAACGGATGTTTATATGCGGACTCGTGTCCTAATCAAATCCGTCTCTCTTCACAGGATTTGATCCAGTTCTGTCGGACGAGACGATCGGACTGCATCGGAATCGGTAACCAACAATGGTAACGTCTCATGTGACGCATCAATTGTCATTTTAAAGTATTTTTTTTCTTTCCCCGTAATGTAAGATGGCATGTATCTAACATAATTGCATAATAGTGGCGTAAACATGACATGCTTATGAATTAACCACAAAAAGATGGCACACGTCACTGCAGTCCATTACGTAGAATTGACGGACACCTGACTGCGAGCAGCTCTTGGTGTGCTTCGTTGTCCCTGAGACCCTTAACCTGTGATGATATGAAAGGTCACAGGTGAGGTCCTTGGGAACAAAGCTGCATGCATTTGCTTCTGGATGCCAAAAACAATGTTCTTTAATAAAGACCAGCAAAAGTAAAAGCTCCAGAGTGTGCAGAATGATCTCCAGAGAGTTTCCTAACCTTCCCACTCATCCTGGAAAAGCTGAGAAGAGACAGCATGGTTCTCTCCAGGGGGCAGAACCTTTTGGCCGGCTTTGTGCTCTGAGTATCAGCCATCTTTTAATAAAGACAGCCAATGGTCGTGACCCCGATATGATTCGCACAGGACTTCTTTAACTCCAGAGATGGAAAACTACAACATTGGAACCTTTAGGGAGAGTTTTAAGCTCCTCATGGCAGCTGAAAATTTGTGCGAGTTCCCTTTTAACACATTCCTGAAAATGATAGGGAATTATTCATGTTTCTTTTCTACACTTTAAGACTAAATTAGCTCTTTAGGTTAACAGAAAACTGGCAAATTTTAAGTTAGATGTTGGTACATCCAGTATTTTTATGGATGTGATGTGTTATTGTATTTAAATGCCTTGTGAATCCAATAAATATAAGAGCACTTGAAAGCATTTCAAACTAATAAGCTGTGTTCCTTTATCTTGTGGGATACTTTTTCAACATTTCATACCTGTGTAAGAAAGATCGACATGTGACTCAAGGCTTCTGCAGATAATGCAAGTAAAACTTTCCAGGTGACTAAAAATGAAAGCGATGCAGCCTTCTTTCAGCCTCTGACGCTCAGCCAGGGTGGCTCTGTGTTCCCTGGCTCGCAGCCCTCCATGTGTTTGTGCATCCCAGGACAGTTGACATTGATTGTGCAGGAGACAGACTGAGACACATTAGTACGCAGCTCGCTCCTGCTGCTGAAAAACGCATTAACTGGCTGCATTGGGAGCCCTGTCTGGTAACCATGGCAAAGCACACAGGCGGGGAGGAGGAGGAGGGCTGAGACGGGGCAGTGGGTTCACCGTGCAGCCTCCCAGGGGTTGTCTTTCTCAAACGCGCCTTTCCTTTCCTCAGGCCACGTCTGTCATTTTCTCTCAGCCTCTCTCCGTCTTTTGAACTGACAGCTCCCCTCCTCACACATAAACACATTTGCATATTTCTTTTTCTCCTCACATTCTTCTGATTGATGGTGACCTCACCGATCTGCCCTTACTTCATACTCCACCCCCTTATCCAACTTCCCAGCACAACATAATCTGCCTCCAATTTACTTTTTTTCCCCACCAAATGCCTTTTTCTTTGTCTATGTGGTTCCTGCTCGTAGAACAATTACTTCCCCCCCCCCCTTCCTCTCATTTTCAACCAAAGTAGCTGATCATTGTCCATGTAGCAGGTAACTTTTCTGTTCTGCTTCAGCTCTAACACTTCTTCCTGCATGGGATCAAAGTTTATCTAAAGTGCGTCACACCCTCCTCAAATCACAGTTCAGCCTTTCTTTTGTGGGCCTTGATTCTTTTTGTGGAAACTTCTGTAAGTACATAAAGAGTCCACTTTGTTACTTCTGAATAAAACTTTGTACATTTAAGAGGAGTCTTTTCTTTATTTCATACACGCGTGAGCGCTTCTATAAGAGCAGCGGTTTTATTGTTCTGGAGCATGCAGGTGAGTGTTAACATGCCCTATTCTTTCCTGGAGTGGGCATCTTAGCAAATTTACCTCGAGGTTAGACAGCAAAGCTTTGAAATGTAGCGTGCTGGGGTTTCTGTGTGAAGTGTTTGTTTTATATTTTTTCTTTTGAAGACTACAGGCCACTGCATGTTAAAGTTCATAACAGCTCGCTTGGAAAAGGACCGACTTGTTTGGAAATGTTTCAAGAGACTTCTCTCTAAAAAGAACATGGCAGCATGGTTTGAACAAACCACCCGACCTCTGGAGCAATGTCCTTTGGCCAGATGAGACCAAAGTAGAGATGTTTGTCCATGAAGAACAGAGAGAACCATACGTGGCATATCAACTCACCACCTCATACCAGCTGTCAAGCACAGTGGTGGAGGGGTCGTGATTTTAGCTTGTTTTGCAGCAACAGGACATGTGCACGTTGCAGTCACTGAGTCGGCCGTGCACTCAGATGGCTTCACATCGTCTATAAACAGCTAAAAGATGACTGAAATTGGTTCATTTAATATGATAATAATCCCAAGAACTGGAGCAAATCTACAGAATGCCTAAAAAAGAAAATCAAGGTGTTGCAATCCAAAGTAAAGTAATGCAAAGAGTAAAAAATAAAATGTGAGACTAACTCTTTTAGCTGAAGACGCTTGTAAAGCTACAGAGTCCTTTTAAAAAAAAAAAAACTTGGTACAAGAAATTAAACATTTTGTGCAAACTAAAAACATTTAGATATCATTGTGTTGTTGAATAAAGTGTCAAACGTTAAGCTCCAGTGAAAAGGTGTTTTATTATAGGGATCTTGTTTTGAGGCACAAAAAATAAAGGACTTTGTTCTAAACCTCTTACTCGAGTTGCTGGATGCAGAGATTTTGCTACATTGATTAAATGCATTGCACATGCTTAATGCTTGGCACGATGAATAATAGTAAGTGACTTGTCTTACACTATAATATGTGAAAGCATTTTAGTCCTTCTTTAACATGTTTTATGCCTGTGTGCACCATTACCAGCTAACATTTTCTAAAATCTGCAAATGAGCCTCTGGAGGGCAGAGCTGAGTTAGTCACTCTTCACCGGGATCCATCTGGTGAAGTACTCTTATACTTTAATTAAAACTGAGACAACACACTCGTACCCATCATTTACTAATGAAGATAATGAAAACAGCACTTGTGAATATTTATGAAATGTATAGAACTAAAATATGAAACGCAAAACTAGGCTTTAAATAAAGTAGCCCTTCTTTATACTTTAGTCACGGGGAAAAAACAACTTGGTTAGCTGGTACGAAAAAAAAAAAAAAGACTTCGAAAGGGTGAAAAATAGGGTTTAGACAACTGACAAGACGAAAGTTTTATTTTTATGGAAATACTTTCTGAATCTTCCCACCTATGCTAAACTAACAGTGAAACTAAAACTTCAACAATAGGGATGAGATAGCGTATTGAATATTTATGTGGTGATGCATTAAAAAATAATTGTGTGTAATGTAAAAAGCAATACTTCTGGAAATATGAAATATGGTGGTTAAATAATTGTAGAATTTATATATAAAATGTATTTATGAATCTGTGTGTTAGGCATATTTATTTATAGCATATATCATATTTTAGATTGTATAATTAAAACCGAGATAAAATATGGGTTAGGAATTCATAAGCATTTGTTTTCGCCGCCTCCTTTTCAAACAGCAAATGTCAACATTTTTATTTTTTCCACGTGAAAATGATGACTTTGATTTCACGTTTAATGTATGAACACTTGTTTTTTGTTTGAGATAAAGACTTGATTGATTGAGCACTGTCAGAGTTGGCTCGTCTTTGGCACCACAAATGTAAACCTGGGGATGCTTCCTGCAGCATCAGTTATGACACTCTCACCTCCTGTGTCACTTCACACTATATTTTCCAATGTGCCAAACTGAAATATGACTCTAACAAAAGAGACAAAACCTCCTGAGAATCACCTTCTGCCAGCTTCACCCGGTTATAGGTAGTTTCTCAATATTTCCACTGTTTCACTTTCTTTTCTTCATGTTAGTTTCCATCATATTTGGCCAGAATCTTCACAGCTTATCCCTTTGTGGTGATTTTCATATTTCCACAGATAAACCTGCACTAGACATTGATAAAGGGCTTCCCTTATGCAAGGGGAAAAAAACAAAAGCCAGGCAGAGCTAAGTCATAATTTCAAGCTAAAAGATTTGACTTAATAGCTTGAAATTTCCAGTTATTTTCTCTGAAGTGTGGGTTAATAACTTGTTAATAAATAACGTAAAAAAAATCAACTTTTTGAGATAATCAAAAATTTTGACTTACACATAAAAATATTGTTTTCAGTGGTTAAAAATTTGCTGCTGCTATCTTTACATCAATTTAAAATTTTGGCAATCATACAATAAAAATTCTTTATTTTTACTGTCTATGTACTTCATCCATATATAAGGTAAAATTAAAATAAAACATCTTTTTTTATTGTCTGTGTAATTTATCCATATATGAAATAAAGTGCATGATAAGATACAATATAAACCTTTTATACTGTCTATGGATTTTACTCAATTATTAATGTTAAATAAAAGACAGACTTTAAGATAATGTATATCTTGCAGTAACAACAAAATCAAATCAAAAAGTGGGATCCAGGTCCCCCTAGGGCCCTAGGAATTGCTGGGGCGGAACTGAAATTCTCCGCTGTAGTTTCCTCCGGAGCCGCGTGGATGTCACGTACGGCCGGAAGCGGTCGCAAATTTGAACAGCCATCACAGCAACAATAAACGCGCACTTTCACTTTACGGTATGTCTGCTGAATCAATATTTTATGAAAAATTAAACTAAAATCATACAGGATATTTATGTAAGGTGAGTTACGCAGCCCGTTGACGGCATTGTTTTGTGCGCTTCACAGCGTTAGCTACTCTTTTCAGCACCGTCGATTTTGAAACAGGCTATTACCTGAAAAACAGTCTGCTCCACAGTCATAGCATCTGCTAAAGGCCCTTAAATGCAATTAAATGTATTACCCTGTAGTTATTGCTGAGAATGCACGGGTTCTGTGTGATTTTTTTCGATAAGTTGCACAAGTTTTAATCTGTAAAAATTGCACCATTAAAGCACAAAATAACAGATTTTTGCATGCAGGGATATTAATTGTGCACGTCATTAATGGGACACCTCAACACCAGCAGACCACGGCTACACTTTCCCGCCGTTGCAAGGTTGTAACCCAGAAAATAGACGTAGCCGTGCAGACCCCATCTCCTAAATAAGACGCTGAGCATGGCATCCTATTTTCCCCGTCAGTCCACCTTAAAAGTGCTAAATCGCCTGCAGAGGGACTCGTTTAGTCGTTTTAAATTGATGCACGAGTTAAGTGAATCTATTCAAATTCACTGTAATGATTACTTTAGTTGGCTTTTTTCGTTATTAAAAATATAAAGCATTTTAAATAATTTTTCTGTATTTTTAAGCTATTACGTTTTTATGGTCTAAGCTGGATTTTTCAGGGGTTGCAAATAGACAAGCCTTTTTAAAATGTAACATTTTAGTTAATCCTAGTTTATGCTACTTCCTGTGTTTTTGTTTGATCGTTGATAATAAAACATTTATCACAGTCCTGGTGATTTTCCTTGGTTGGAAGCCCCAAACCTCTTTGGTGCGCACTTTTTTTTCTTTTTCACTTTCTGTTTCTTCTTTATTTGGATCTTTGTCTTGTGGGCTGAATGTGTAAATCACTACGCTGTTTTTATTCTAAGCCCAGTAGAAGATATGGCAGGAGACGTTAGAGGCCACCTTTGTTCAGAATTTTTCTTGTTATCACAAGCTGGTTTAACTCACATTTATTGATAGGCTTCTTATTTGTATTTCTATTAATTTGTTGGAGTTCTGAGGGCTTTCAGCCTGTGGTCTTGTGGTGGTTGTTATTTAAGACTCAGACTAAAAGGAATGTCATTTTCTGCTCATATTATTCAAATCCATGTCCATCAACTATGCAGTTATATAGTTATTACATAATGTTGCATATAATTAAGTAATTACATGGTTATATATTATTCGTGTTTTTGAGTTAGTACATGGTAAATGCGAGAGGACCCAAAATGGAGCCTTGGGGAACTCCAAGAAAGTTTTGTAGACTTAAACATGTCATTTCTGATCAGCATGTGTAGTAATACATTGTAAGGTTGGGTGATATGAACATTTTTCCAACCGACATTCATCAGTCCAGTAAATGCCTATAGGAGATATATTCACACAGGTGACTTTTTGATGGGCGGTGTAATCATGCACAGACTGATTTGCACATTTAGAACACAGAAGTCCAAACATGGAATAACTAGTTGGCAAAAAGAAAAAAGTAAGTCGCCAATTTGGGATTTCTTTGGTTTTAAACCAGATGAAAGAGGTAAACCTGAGGATGTAACCAAAGGGATGTGCCGCTTGTGCAGACGTTGTTTTCTGAACATAGGCTACTGCCTGTCCTTGTTTGAGTAAACAACTCGCTGCATTTGGGCGCACTCTGATGAAGGTGCATTTGCTCGCAGCTGGAAGAGGATGCCGTTAAGACAGCCCTATTATTTTTTTCCCGTTGACTGCTTCTTTTAGTTTCAACCAACACAATTAGCAAACTTACTCATGGGCAAATACATCAATAAATCGTTCCTGTAAAAACGACCATTGAAAGACTCAGCCTATTGTCCATGGTTGATAAATACGTCCAATCTTAATACATTGCAGGTGTAGAGCCATTAAGATCCAATAAAAACACGACTGTGACTCTGACAACCTCACATCACTTAGACTGCTCTCATTAAAATGGGAAAAGTCCTGACTGAAAGGTATCGGAACTGCTGTTTTACAGGGATAAGCACTTTGATGGTTAGCTGAGGCAAATAAAATCGGCCAGTTTTGCCCTGTAAATGTGTTAAATCTGTATAAATGTGCAAATCTGGGTGGTCTCTAAGATCTCTGTAATTTGATGATTATGATGATTAAAGAGGACCTCAACAGTCTTCAGTATTACCATATCACAGTATGTAAAGTTTTGATGAAAACATGTCCCCCTGACTCAACATGAAAATGACTGAATACTGCCCTCTATAGGTGTTATGCCCTTTTTAAGGTGGACTTGGAAATCCCCATAAGAAGCCAGTGTCAGAGCAGTGTGAGTTAAATAACAAAAATTAAGTAAACTACATTATTAGCTTCATAATGATATTATAAAAAATATAATCAATGTTCATATATGCTGTCTTACAATGCAGACCAAATTTCTTTGTGTAATCATAAGTTATATGAGTATAATCACGCTTTTCGGTGATGATGGGAAATGTTTTGAAGCTACGATGTAAATTTTAAAAAAATAATAAAAGGCCCAGTACTTATTAAACGTAAGTAATGTGCAGTTTTATGAACAGAGTCAGCATTTTTATTGCTTTTGTCACATGTGTCAGTACAAGAAGTAATCGTAAAAGTAGCCAGTAACTCATAATAGCTGAATTTCAGTTTGAGAGGTTATCAGTCATTGACAAGAAAGGCATTTATTTACATTTATATCTATAACTGCATTTTAAGAGCTTAAGGTAGGCCCACTTGTCAGGGACACAAATTTTTAATATTAATTTCATCTATACGTCAATTTTATCTGCTGCTTATCCAGTTCAGAATAATGGGGGTGGAGCCTATATGCAGGCTTCACAGTGGACACAGGGTTGTCATAGTGATAGGCATAACCATTAACACCTATTGTCAATTTAGCATCACTAACTGACAAACAAACATGTCCTTGGACTGTGGGAGTAAGCTGGAGTACTTGGAGAGAACCCGTGTAGGTACAGGGAGAACAGGCAAACTCCACACAGAAAGGCCTCAGCTGCTTAAGTCACTCCACCTCTGAGACATTTACTATGGATTTATCCCTCCAAAAAATTGATTAGAAAAATTAAAAGATTAAATAGTGGTAGGGGTTATCATCTTCCATACACAATCTGTGGTCTGTCTGGACTCCACGTACCTACACGTAGTTATTATGTTATTACGTCCAGTTATGTAATGAATCATAATGAGTAAAATGAAAACAATATTAAATAATAACTGTAATTTCTTTGTTAAATATGCAGGTGCACACCAACAGAAGTAGTCCACGCTGAAGCCGGCAGTATGGAAGAAGAAATTAAAGAACAAGGAGATCCTGTGAGCAATGAAAGGCAGGCCAGTGTAGGCAATCCAGTGAAGAGGGGAAGAGGGAGGCCGCAAGGCTCCAAGAAGCTGAACGTTTCCAACAGCGAGTCCACACAACCACAGAGGGGAAGAGGGCGTCCGAAGATCTCTGGCACA